CCTGCGCCGACGACACTTCATTAACCTAACCAAATGACAAAAAAATAAATAATAATAAATTTGCTGAAAAATAAATGGTCATGTACAAAATTGATAGGAGGGGGGGGGCCTGGGGGGGGTCCAAAAATCGTATACTAGGACAGACCCCACAGTTTTAAATAAAAAAATAGTCTACAGGATTTTTTTGCATCCCCTTGATTGATTAAGATTTAAAAATTGTGATCGTTTCAAAGTTATCTTATTTTACTTTAAATTTTGGTTTGTTCAGAAAAAAGATTGATTTTTTTTTTATTTTATTCAGGTAAAAGATATAATGAGCAACATAAAATTCTATTCTGTCCAGTGTCCACACAACTCTCAACTTAAGTTAAATAAACTCAAATTAAAATTACAAAGAACATTTAAAATTCTCAGGAAAATTTAGTTTTTATTTCTAGAATCTTGAAGAAGCTAAACATTTCTAATCAAACTACAATTTCAACAGAAAAATAATCAGACAAATATGCTGTAAACCACAAAGAGCACCCTGATATGAATGGACGTTAAATTAATTGACTTTAAAATAACATCCCGTTCTGCCAAGTTTTCTAAACGATCGTTAAAGGATCGTTAAACGATCGTTTTTGTTTCGTTTTCAAAAACGAGCGTTTCGTTTTCGGAAAAAAACGATCGTTTTAAAAACGACCCATTCGTTTTTAACTTTTAGAAAACGAATAGCGATCGTTTTTATTAAAACGATTTGCGACCGTTTTTATACAGTGAAACCCTTAATAACGAATACATCGGAAGAATTTATTAAATGTCGTCTTGACAATTTTTCAATGAGTTTTATACTGTATTACGTAAATTTAATTTTTTGCGAAAATAAATAAATAGCCATGAATATACGGGAACAGTTTTAAAGAGTTCCATATTATGATTTAATTAAAAAACTAAATATCTGCATCATTCCATTATCAGAAAGTGAAGAATACGACATTTAATGAATTCTTTCGATGTATTCGTTATTAAGGGTTTCACTGTACGATTGTTTTTTAAAAAAAGGATCGTCTTTAAACAACAAATTTATTGAAAATTATGTTAACGATCATAAACGAAGGGTCGTTAACGTTCTTTAACGAATTGGGTCGTCGTTAACAATCGTTAACGGAGATTCATCGTTAACGATCGTTAATGAAGGGGTCGTCGTTAACGATCGTTAACGAAGGGTTGTCGTTAACGATCGTTAACGAAGGGTTGTCGTTAACGATCGTTAACGAAGGGTTGTAGTTAACGATCGTTAACGAAGGGTCGTCATTAACAATCGTTAACGAAACGACGAATTTTATAAAACCGATCGTTTTGAAAAATGATCGTTTTTAAAAACGAGCATTTTTAAAAACGATCGTTTTTCATAACGAAACGATCGTTTTTCTGAAAAATGAAAACGTTAACATCCCTAACTCAGACGAAAGACGGGAAATATTTTTTTGTTTACCACGGGTTCCATTAGCCAATTTGTTCCAAGTAACTCTTCGCGTAAAGTATTTGTAAATTAATATAATTAGTAAAATAATGAATTTTGAAATTCTTGGATTTAAATCAGATGTAAGTTGTGTAAAATTAAGATCTAAATACTTATTTTGTAGCAGAGTGTAATCATTAAATTGTATCACAAATTTTATAGTTGTCAACTTATTCATGCAATCTTAATGGACAAACTGTACTTTCGTTTCTTTCGTTTCTAGTGTGGTTTCATTTCGGGGTCAGGTTCTTTCTTGGATGTAGTAGTATCAGATTAAGTTTCGGATTCTCATTGTGCGTGTTGTAAAGTTAATAGCCATAGCTGAGTCGGCTGATGCCACGGTAGCAGATAGAGTAACAGAAATTTGTTGTCCAGGTTAGGTTAAGGGGGAGACTGATGAGGTTAGGGGGAGGGTGTGGAGACTTATGAGGTTAAGGGGAGAATGATGAGGTCAGGGGGAGACTGATGAGGTCAGGGGGGAGACTGATGAGGCCAGGGAAGAGACTGATGAGATTTTGGGGGAAACTGAAGAGGTTAAGGGGAGACAGTTAAGGTTAAGGGGATGGGATAACTAATGAGTGCAGACAAATTAAGTAACATTACTTAAGATTTGTAATAAATGACATACAGTATTATTAATTGCTCAATCGGTTAAATGCAAGAAAAAAATTAGTTAAAAATGAAAATTGAAAAATCAGTAATACATAAGTGAATGTTTTTGTTAAGGAAAATGTCCATAACTTTTTTTTACCTCTGTTTCCTCTTCTCGCGTTGAGTAAAGCTGTGTACTGTTACAGCAAACATCCAGTACAAGGTTATGTAAAGAGTTAGCCATAGCGTACACTGCATCAACTAAACATTTTAAGTTTACGCTTTAACAAAGAAGCATACTTATTTTTATAACTAATTCAATTCTTCAAAAAAAAATTGGAAAAGGGTTGGTATACAAATTAAGAATTAAGTAACATTTTTATTCATTATCCGATTCAACTTATTCTTTTAAACTCCTTTTGTGTTGTACAACGCACACAAATAGTTCTACTAGAAAAGTTTTTGTTTGTCTTCGTTGGAAAATATTATTTTCTCTACAAGACAAATATGACTTTCAAAATGGTTCCTCACTTAAAACTTTTTATGATATATGTAAGTCTTCTGTAAAAACTTCAGCAACAAGGGGATAAAGTAGCTTTATCTTAGTATGATATTAATTACTGTATTTTACTTTTGGGAATATATTTGCGTTTTCCCCTCAAGTTTTACCCTTACACAAATCGAATAAAATAATGTCTTACTAACTAACTTACTTACTTACTATCTTTAGAATACAAACGTTTTCTATCCGGATATTTTATTCACATATCCTCCAAATTTTTTCATATAAAAAATTTAATGCAATTATGAGTGACTACAGAAAATTACCTACAAACGGAACAAGACCCTCTTGGAGGTGTTTGTGTAAACCTTCTTTTCCAGTGCAATCGCCTTCTGTTTCAAATCCAACTTTAAGACCCGGAAACTAAGATTTATTAATTACATTTGTGTGGTTATTAAAAATATATTTTAAGATAAAACATTTTATACATTGAAATAATGGATTTTCCGATTAGTCTATTTTTGGTCTAATAGAGGGAGGGGGGGGTCGAATTTTTCAAGGCCAGCTTATAAAAAATCAAGCCTCTAACTTTGATTGCCAGGGTACTAGGGTGTTTTTTTAAAGCTTAAAGCTTTAAAAAGTAAGTCGAAAAAAATATTAAAAAATATTTATTTTACTTTTGACAAATATTAACATTTGACACATTTCATTAGATTGCAATTGTTTCCAATTTATTTGAATTTAATAAATCTAAAAATAGTTGGAACAGTTAATTGCAGTTCAAAAAACTTTGAATATTTATGGACTATCTTTGGTTATTTTGAAACAACAACAGGATGTTTGACCGTCCTCTTCTTTACGCGCTTCCATTAGATTTGCGTTTTTTTTTATTTTGAATCGGTAAAACAAATAAAATAAAAGTTTTTAAAATTTTTTCCCCATACAACCATTTCCTGAGGTCATGTGAGTTACCACAAAAGTTTAGGCCTGATCGTTTTAGCCATTTATATAAATTTTTAATATCCACGGAAGTTCTTTCTTTTAATTAAGAAAAAGACGGGTTAAGAGTTTACAAGAACTGTTCCAGATTTTTTACGTTATATCTCAAATTTCACAAAGTTATGTGTAACATGAGAATGTTACTTCAAGGACAGACAAAAATTCGAACTTGTAAAAAATTGCCTTGCATCGATGATGTTTAGACCAAAATTCACGAAAATAAGGATTTCTGCAGTTAACCTGAAATTTATGCTGTTCATTTTATATCTGATATTTTTTATTATTTGCTACTTATTTAACACCTACCTTTTTGTCCGCTTCCTCCTGCGGTGTGCATTCTGCATGTTGAGACGGTACAAGGTTTTTGAAATATCTGTCAAACCCTAGAAAGCCCAAATGAAACCCAGTAAGACATGGAAGTGATCTCAATATCCACTATGACAGCTTTTAAACTAAAGGGATAAAGGGATTGGTTTCCTGACGGGTAATCTTATTTGTTTTTTAAAAATACAAAAAAGTGCGAACAGAGTTGGGAACTTTAGAATTGGATACCTTTAATCCCGACTGCTTAATCCGAATATCCAATGTGGACACTTTAAATTTCTTGCTTATTTACTCTTTTTGGGTAATGTTACATCGTCTATATGCAACAGCCCCCCTAATGAACTTCTGACCTACATAACGTTCCGACTTACTGCAATATCAGACCTACGCTAGCTGTTTCTTTTTGTATTATTTGAGGTTTAGGTTAGGACAATTAAGACAATTTGTGGGCCGAGCTCTGAGGCTAGGACAGGCTAGGGGGCCGAGCTCCGCGGCTAGGACAGGCTAGGGGATGAGCGCCGTGGCTAGGACAGGCTAGGGGGCCGGGCGCTTCGGTCACATGTCCATATAGCAGCTGTAAAATCACGTGCTAGTAGGTCGGATGTTTAGTATAGCGAATTTTGCGCAGGTCAGAAGTAAGTATAGCGGATTTGCGAAGGTCGAAAAATTCACCACCCTCTTTTTGGGATATAAACAGAAAAATCAAAAGCCGGTTTTCAAAATAAGAGAGTCCCTCCTGTTTCTGAACATAAATCTGAAATGACGCGCAAAATTTTTAATTTCCCAGCTTCTGATACGCAACTCTGATTGATTGAATTTCAGACACTTTACAGGATACAAGTACAAGATTAGGTTAGTCTCAAGATTAAGAAAAATAGAGGATCAAGCATTGATCTTGATATCCACCATTCTATAGCTCCCAACTCAACATACATGTATTTGGAATCAAGCAAAGTGGTGGAAAAAAACTTTTTTCTTCAAGGTTGCCTGAAATGTTTCGACCTTTGTACAACATAATTTTATATATATTGGGCTAGTTTGATTTCGAAAATGCATGCTACTACAAGTTTACTAAGAGCAAGTTTCAAGCCCCACATCTATCTTATGATTTTTAAATTTTAACACATCAATAATTAATATGACGTCATAGTTGGCCAATTATATCTCTTAGTCTAGACACCTCGCCAATTTTGAATTTGAATTGAAGAAGAACCGATTTAGGACAAGAACAATCGGGGTAAAAATTCCCACCAAATACTTGTATAATGTATTTAAAATTTATTGGACCGAGTTTTTTCACTTCCGACCGAAAGCTCTTTACGCAAACAAATCCATGTTGAAACTACGAGGCCTGGCATTATATTGTCCTCCTTAATAATAGCGTACCCAACAAATCAATTTGGTATTACACACTTTTAAGTTTTTAACGCTACCTAAATATTCAAATGTACATTTTTAAAAAATCAGTTCAATTAAGAAAATTAATTGAAATATTGTTGTATTATAAAAAAACCTCAAATGCTAAATTTTCGGTAAAATAAAATGATATTTTCCTAAACCTGATATTTCAGATCTCTTGGGAAGGATCGTTATGGCTCCTTCAGCCGCCCATTCTTGATCTCGAACTGGAAATATCTTGGCGCCCCATGAATCTGTCACATATTTATTTACCAAAGTGAAATATAATTTACTACCTACCTACCTACTCTTAGAGGCGTAGTTAGTAGGGGTTATTGGGGTGGTACCCCCCCCCCCCAAAAAAAAACAACATGTTTTTCGTTTTGCGCATCATTTAACTCAATCAACTTAATCAAAGTAACACAGATAAGTTTTACCAAAAAAAAATCTATTATTCAATGCAGTAGCGTACTTTCACTGCACTGGGGGGGGGGATGGGGAAGTAACACAGCCCCCCCCCCCAGCTTCCTAGGCCTCCCTAGGGATTCTTGGGCAAAAGTAAAATTTATTTGGGGGGGGGGGACTACCTACCACACCAATATTATATACCTACAGTAGAATATGAAAAAATGTGTTTGTAAAATGTGTTTATCAATGCTGAAAATTTCAATAAAATCCAAAGATCGGATATAAATTAAAATCCAATATCGCAATTTTAACTTTTGAACCTTAAAACTAAATTTTGTTTATACCCTTACCCTTAAACCTGATGTCAGACCTTTTAAAACCTTCTTATGTTTTCTATTCTATTTTTTAAAGGGGAACATATTAATTTTTTATTTAGCATAAACGAAAAAATATCTGCCATTGCGTTTTAAATACTTATAAACTTGATAGGCATAATTTTAACTGACCCTCCATTTTTTTTCGATTCACAATGGTTCCCATTAAACCTTTGAAATATCGTCGTTTTTTGTTTAAAAATAACACACTCAAAATGATCAGTTTCAAAACTATTATTGATTTTTTTGTAAACAATCCTGATCCAATCCAGTAGAATTTTCCAGCTACACCCTTCCTTGTTGTAGCACTCAACAACTTTCTGAAAATCATTTTTGCTTGATGCGTCTAAAATTTGCGTTGAACAAACAGTTAACCTTTTAACATAATTTTAAATGAATCACAAACTATTTTCTAAATGTTGGGGATACAATGAATAACATATGTTAAAGATATCTTCTTCTTTTTTCTTTAATTTATTACTTTTTTTTTTACTATTTCTAATTTTTTTTATTTCAAAATCCCACCTTGTTTTATCTTCATCCACAAAGAGAACTACCGCCTGAAAAATAAAAGCATTTTCATTAGCTATAAACATGTTATTCTATTCATAAACTTGAAAACCGCATACTACGCGATTCTGCCACCTTTGCCGTATTCTCCCAATTTACTACTTTATTCGACTGTTCCTTTAGATAGTTTAAAAAGACAATACAATTATTTAAAAAAATTTTTTATGGACATTGGGATGTTTTATATTGAACATCCTTTAAAGTTGTTATAAATAATTTATTTTTAATCTTTAAAAATGTACTACAGACACTGTTGGCTTTTAGGTAATAGCAAAGCATGATTGGTGGGAATGGGCCGGGTTGTGTGTTTTCATAAGTAATTAAAAGTTTGAAAATTAGATGATGTTGTGGGGTATAGTTTCAAAACTGTTTAAACTCAAGAACAAGAATTTTGAAACTTTCAAAAATAATTGCGCTTACACAAAATATTTTTGATTTAAGTGAAAAGTCCAAACGAGCTGGATTAAGTTTTCAAAATTAAGTTTTACTTTTTATTTACTTTCATAAAAAATGTTCTTTCTATTGTTATGCAAATTCAATACATATCTACATATTTTTCCAAAAAATATCATTTTCTGTAAGTAAAGTTTTGTTTAAAAGCAGGATCAAAATCTTTCTTCTTTTCCAAAAGGCATTGTCTGCCCTTTTCACCAAATTCTATCAAGATATCCGAAAATCTATAAAAAATCAAGTTTATTTCAAACAAAGCAGATATATTTCTATATGATGGAAATATCTGATGAATTTTTCCCGATTCCTGGTTTATATTTTATTATTTGAGTGCTGTACATATTAGAGTTTATTTTGAGATTACATCCATCCTTTTAAATCTTTTCCTTTCATAAATTTGTTCATGGAAAAGATTTCACAAAATTCTAGGATTATTCAAATTCAAATACAAAAAATATGGTGATGTAGAGAAATACATTTGGGTACTTTTTACTTAGAAGAATCTGGATTTAAATTTGGGCCCGATCGGTTATGCCGTTTTGACGTTTATTGGATACAAACAAACAAACACCCAGACAGACAGGAAAAGTATATATATATACATATATTGGTTTTTGTTCTCTGCTATAAATATGTGCCCTGTTTTAAATGTTGTGCTCCATGCTGAGATCTACAATTTTATCAAGCGAAATATATATATATAGATTAGGGGCACGTAATGTTCCAGTTTAATCAAAGAGAATAAAATATATATTAGAGGGGAATTTACTAGAAAAAAGCGTAAAACGGCCATTTTGTTGTACTGTTTCCATACTGCAGGTATACTTCACATATTTATGCTATATAACCTTTTGGGCCCTGGAATATCATTTTATAGAAAATCTAAAAATAATGTTAAAAGAAAACCAAATTATGAAATAAGCTGGTTTCATAATTGACCAATGATCATTTACATAGACTCTTTGCCTTTCACTTTACAAACGATGATTTTCCGTTATAACTATAAATCAAATGATGTTTTTTATTCACCTAATTCATTATAAAGTTTATTTAACAGCTTTAAAAAATTCGAAATTGAAATGAATAGTCAAGGGAAAATACTGTATTAATGTACTCTACCGCATATAATTTGTGAACATTTACATGATTTGTACACTTTGAACTCCCTTTCAGGCTGAAAGGGACTGAAAAAAATTCATACCGAGAGATTCTCTAAATTTCCCTCTAATATATATTCTATTCTCTATGAGTTTAATCTTAAATTAGTAACGCATTCCAATTTTTAACAATTTAGTAACATTCGGTTAATAAAACCTTAGCTCTGTAATCTTCTAACAGTGCATCAACTATCCCATCAAACTCTTGTATCCCTGCATGTCTGCTGATCTATCCATGTTAACAAAATTAATAAAAAACATCTTATTCCGTCCTTTTTTATTTAAAATTTTTATAATTATTAATGCAAAAAAATATTCTGGGAACTCAGGGTATTCAGTAACAAGTCTGTATAGTTCAGAAAATCTAAGAATTACAAAAAGAATATCAATAAGAAAAAGTCTATGTAGCACCGCAGAATAACTAACTTGATGATTGTTGGGAAAGTAAATTATTTTAAAGTTAGAACTAAGAGATTAGAACTCCAAAATCTCAATCTTACGGAACTATAGACTTTTCAATTAATGTTTTTATTTTTATTTATTTTTTTTTCACATTATTACTGAAATAAGATGCCATAGGAAAACTAAAATTTAATTTGTTAATTCCTTTGCTGATGTAGCGATACATATTCCAGATTTTGTTGCTATTTGGATAAACGAGGCAATTCCCTTTTCTCCATATTCCCCCTATAAGATCATAGTTATTTATTTTTGAAGCATAGTTTTTATTTTAATCAATACCTGTGCTGCAACAGTGCTGACATATGTCCACCCTAATTGCTTCACAATCTCAACCATTGCTTGCGCCTTTTCAATATATACATTAAAAAAATAAAGGAATTGACTCTTTGCAACAAAATCTGATTTTCTAATCCCTATATCTTTGGATTCCAACGTCGTAAACCTTTGAAATTTCAAACTATGACTTTTGTTAGATCAAAAAATATAAGTTTGAAATATCAAAGGTTTACGACATTGGGTTCCAAAGATATTGGGATTAGAAAATCAGAGTTTGTGGCAAAGAGGCAATTCCTTTGTCTTGCTTTCAAAGTTTTTTTATGAGACTTTAAACAATATACTTTTTGGAACCGTATTAAAATTATATTTGTATTTTAAAATCAGAACATTTTTGGGGGTTCGATCTGAAATTCATTGTTTTCTATTTTTATGCATAAAATGTTTTATTTTAGAAGTACATTTTAAAAAGATCGTTCATTTGTTTGGGTATTTTTAGGCTATTTATTTTATTTTATTTTATTTATTGGCTATTTAATGGTATTAGTCTTACTTTTCAAAGATAACTGTGGCCGGAGAAAACCCAAATTTATTGTTAAGAATTTCGGCATGAAGGTGCAGTCAGTGATGTCCATAAATGGAGTTGAAATCTATTGAACTAGTTTTCTACACAGTTTGTTTAACGTTTGAATACGAAAAACGTAAATTGCTTACAACCTCTAATATCTAAAGCTTTTAATTTTTATCTGATCATGAATTTACTATTTCTAAAATGTCACTTTTTAAACATTAATATTTTTCCCTTTAATTCTGCTTTTTAGTGCTGCTGCAACCAAGTGGTATTACAGTGTTGAAATCTATCGTTTAAAAGTAAGAATAATACCAATGAATATTATTTAGTTAACCCTGATCTACCCAAAGAAGTCCGCTAGAATAAAAATTTATTAGGTGAAAAAAATGGGATATAAAATGACTATAAATAATTTTAAGTTAATAACGAACAATGTCAGTAACTTTTGCGACTAAATAAATTTGTTGGTTCATATTTTATATTCATTCATATTTTTATTCAACTACAAAGCATGAGATATTAAAAATATGAAATAAGCAATCACAATTTATTATGCAGTTTGGACCCGCCTAACCAGGGAAGGTTGTTTTGAGCGGATGGCCCGAAGTTAATTAACAATACTGAACATAATTGGTTTTACATATCAAGTTATGTTTTTGGATAGGTAAGGAGATGATTGGAAGGAAGAAGATTGGAAGGTGATCTGTAGGAGGGTGAGATCAGAAGAATTAATGTAGAGATAAATTAAAATACAGGGTGTTCCGGATGGTGGATACATAAACACAAATAAGCTAATAAAGTTTCATTTATTTTTATTTTTTTTACATAAAATTTATTCACACGATATACATCTAGGGGTTTCGCATTTAAACCTCTCATAATTCTCAAGATAAATATTGATTACTCTTTGTTTAAATATTTCTGCAGATTTAGTTTCTTTGAGGTAAATTTCAATTGCATTCCACAATTTAGGAAACATTGCGGACGAAAAGCTTTCTAGATTTTTGTTTAAACCCCTAATTTATATGATTTTGTTCTATTCGGTTCCTCTAGAGATATATAAACATATTCTAAAAGGAAGAGGGAAGTCGGAAAGTTATCATTAAAGTATCTATGCATAAAAAAGTATCATCAAGGTTAAAAACTTTCAGTTTTGAAAATAATGGATTTAAATGTACCTTGAAAGTACGATCATTAACCGCTCTGATTGTCTTCTTTTTTTGCAAAGATCTGATTTTTAATCTGTAGTTCGGAGTTTTTAACTCCTCCCCAAGTAACAATTCCATATTCAATATTAGGCCTTACAGGAGAGTTATAAACAAGCAGACGAATATGTTTAATTTGAAAATCCCAGTTTAAAAATTCGTCAAGTTTAAGTCCAACAAATTTGAAATATTTGTTCACACAGTCATTACCAATTATTTCAAGTATCTCATTTCCTATTGATATATTACAACTGTTAGGGTCAAAGTGCATATTTTTATTTCTAATTACTATATACTTTGTTTTGGAGACATTCAGTGGCAAACGATTTGCTTAAAACCATTATGCTGCTTTGTTTAGTTCAGTCAATCTTGTATCTTGGATGTCTTAAAGGATCTACTGGAAATAGCAAATTGGAAAACTTTAGTCAAAGTCTTTAATAATTTCACCAAAATAGAAAACGCGCTTTGTTAAGTTATGATGGAGCTTCTCTATACAAACCGGAGATACTGGAAAATATTAAACTTTTATCAATTTTGATCCAAGTGGGAAAATTTCAGAATATTTAAGGCAAGGAATGCATCTCTACGTTTACTTTACATTTTACAAATTGTGAATAATAAAATATTTCTTAAGCCAAAAAAAATCACTCTAATCACTAAAAAGCCAAAATATCAAATATTTGTTAAATTCAATTTTTCGCAATTGCTTTGGAAAGTTCTTATAGCAATAATAATAATAATAATAGTGATATTATCTATTACGGTTGATTGTCACACTTTCTTAATTTTTTAAGTTTCTAATTTTTGTTTCGATCGTTCAAGTTTTCAATTTTTTTATGCTAAAGATATTTAGCTTTTTGAAATTTACGAATACATACAATAGTACTAAGGCTTTTATGGCGGTTCTTCTTTTTCAAATTTCAAGTGAATATCTTCTCTTTTTACAGTATACATTTTTTTTTTAAATTTGCGGATTTCCTAATATTTTTTCGCGCATTTTTCAAAATTTTCCAAAATTAAATAATTATAGATAAAAATATTTTAAGATTACATAATAAAAGTCTGATTGGCCATAAACCTTCTCTGGGGCCACGAGAGGTCTCACACAAAATTTGGGCCTGATCAGTTCAGCCGTTTTACATTAGCATTGCTCAGTTTTCGTTGCAAGTTCCTCACCCCCATGACAGGCCTTGGTTTTCCTGTCTGAGATGTCACACTTAATTCCTGGTGTTTCTCATCATCAGACAGTATGTGTCCTGTTTCATCATCTTTATATTTCTTGGAAGGCTTCCGACTCAGTTATACCAACAAAAAAGTATTTTAGAAAAAATTGACAGAACCGTTAAATCCTCGTGAAACAGACACCCAGACAAGCTAAAGGAATTGAGTCTTTTCCACAAACTCAAATTTTTAAACATCTTTATCTTTTCAACCTAATACCGTAATCCTTCGATATTTCAAACTAAGATTATTTGGTTAAACAGAATGCATAGTTTGAAATATCTATGGTCAACGACATTTGGTTGAGAAGATATAAAAATTTGAAAATAAGATTTTGTGGCAAAAACTCATTTCCTTTATATATAGATATACTGGGATGTCAGGGCGCTTCACGTCCATCTTTTATTTCAATTTTTAACTGTTGCTCAATCTTTCAGCATTTTCTCTTTGATAAAACAAAAATGAAAAATTTTGCGAAGTTAAAATTTTGTTTTCGAGGAATTTCAAAATTTTTGGATACAACTTTTTGTAATTCTGAAAATCCATCCTCTATTTCAACTTTAAATTGTGGATTTATCTGTGAGCATCTTCTCTTTGTGCAATATAAAATAGAAACAAGCAAAAAGTTCGCAGATTTAATAATATTTTTTTTAAACTCGTTTCAGCTTTAACGTTTATTGGATACAAACAGACAGGGAAACGAACAAACAAACACCCAGACAAGCAAAATATATATATACTAGGCTTTTAGGGAGCTTCGAGCCCATCTTCTATTTAAATTGTGAACATCTTCTTTTTGTTTACATTTTAAAACAAAGAAGAAAAAAATTTCGCGGATTTTTAAAATAAAATTCGCGGATTTTCAAGAATTTAATTTTTTTACAAAATTTAAAACCTCTAAAACACATTTTTCTTAATTTTTATCATTCGTAAACCTTCCCTGTGGTCATTTGATGTCCCACAAAAAATTTGGGCCCGATCGGTTCAGCCGTTTTGACGTCTATTGGATACAAACAAACAGACACCCAGACAGACAAAAAACAGACAGACAAGCCAAATTTATATATAGATGTAATTAGACAAGCAAAGCATATATATGTAATTTATAATTATAGATACAGATGCAAAGTGATTTAAATTAAAATGCTTAACAAAGTTTCTAATGCTTAACATATTTACTTTATCAGAAAATTTCAATCAATCAGAAAAGTTGTATCTGTGATGTGAATAATAAAATTAAAATGAGAAAATAACGAAATTTGACACTTCATACGAAAAGAATGAGATTGAAAAACTATTTGATTTCTTGTTTTAAGTTCAGATTTTTTGCCTTTCATCTTATAATTTCTATTTTTATGGATATGCATATATTATTAATAAATGAAAAAAAAGCACCTGAAAATTATCCGGAGGAACTACCCGGGAAAAGTACTCAAATCTAGATTTATCAGAAAGCTCTAAAGATGTAGAGGCGTAACTGATTTGAGGTATCTAAATGATGAATTATAGTCGCAAATTGTCAGTTTTAATTTTAAATAATGTAACATACCCGAAAAAGTTTAAGAATATTCGCCACCATTATAGACACTCCGCTTAAAGCTCCCCCTATGACCCCTAAAATGTTCATCTAATAAAGATTAATTTTTCCAAGAAGGAAAAAATATATAATATCATAACAATTGAATGATAAAGGAATTGAGTCTTTGTCACAAACTCTGATTTTCTATATTCTTGGAACCAAATGTTGCAGACCTTAGATATTTCAAACTATGAATTCTGTTAGCTCAAATAATCTGAGTTTGAAATATCAAAGGTTTACAACATCGAATTCTAAAGCTATTGAGGTTTAAATATTTGATTTTGTTCCAAAGACTCAATTCCTTTACTATTTTTTCAATTAATGTATTTAACGTTCTTTTACATGTTTATTTATTCATTATTTTGGGAATTATTCTTCAATTCATATTTACAGTATTTTATCGATTTCCAACCATACATTTGAAATAATTTATGAGATTTTAATTAGAAAAGATAATTTCGATCATATAAATTCTTAGCAATGATTTTAATTTGTCATGTTTCCTTTGAATTAAGATGTATTTAATTCATATTGACGACTGAAAAAACAATCCCGACCCAGGAGAATAAGAAATGGAATACATATCATGGATACATACATTTTTTATGCCTGTCATTTAAGAATTTATTAATTTAGATTTAAAATATCCAAAATATTAAATTTATTTTCTCATTTTTCTCAGGGCAGGATTGCGACATACAAGAATAAATAGTTTAGTAAGGTTTTACTTTAATATTCTTAAACTAAGAGGAAATATCATGAAAAAATGATTCTTTCTAAAATGTTTTTTACCCGCAACAGGTTGGGTTGGTCGACCTTCAAATTCTGAACACTCTTTGGAAACCTTGAAAAGAAAAATTATAAATCCAAAAAGTCAGGAAGCATTTTAATTGAGAAATATTTTCTTAGACTTTTGGATTTTGGCATTAGATTTTGTTTTGTCCAGTTGCATCAAATTTATTTTAAATAGCTGCCAAGGGTCATGATTATTGAACGCAATTCGTAAAATGTTTTTAATTTGGCCTTGGAGACTAAGTAGGATTTTAATGTACTCGATTCGTTTAAATGACACTTCACTGATCTGATGATATATAGAAAGTGAATCAGCTTACAATTTATGTAAACATCAAGTTTAGAGAACCAATATGCGCCATGATTAATCTTATCGATATCGATGCATTAAGAGATTAATTGTCAGACCCCATCTTGAGATCGTTTTTTAGCAAATCCCAATCCTACTCCCTAGGACTAGAATTATATCATTTTCTTCGAAAAAAACTTTGGCATCATCAGGAGTTCGTCCTATAATATCACAGATATAAACAAAAAAAATTTTTTTTAAATATATAAAAAAGTTTTTTTTAGACAATGTATATATAAAATAAATGATACAATAAAGCAACTCGAATAAACAAAGAAGAGAACCAAAAAAAAAAAACTGTTTATGTAATTTTTACGTATCTTTCTACATACATTTGCTTTTCGGTGGATTGACCACATGATGTTATTAAGACGTACGTAAGCCTAATATTTGTATACAGGTAGTATATTTATGTTTAAAGAGGATGGTAAAGATGAGGTGGTCCTGCCTTCATTTTAGGTTAAAATCTTTCAATTTTTTGGCTGCACACCTAATTTGTGTTCTTATTTCCAAAAATAAAATGAAATTGAACCACCTTAATGACCTTTAATTATTTCTAATGACCTCGACTAATAGAAAATATTTTTACTATGGCTTTATGCATATCCAACGAAAGAAGCAGCAAATATTCTATTGTTTGACGTCGTTAGTAGCAGCAACGAATCCAGTGTTTGACCTTCTAATTACCACTAACGACCTCCATATTGAAAATATTTTTACTATGGCTTTATGCATATCAAACGAAAGCTAGGAGTACATAAGCAGCAAAGAATCTATTGTTTGACGTCGTTAGAGGTAATTAGAAACATGCAGTAGCAGCAACAAATCCATTGTTTGACCTTCTAATTACCTCTAACGATCTCCAAATTGAAAATGTTTTAACTATGGCTTTGACGTCGTTAGAGGTTATTAGAAACACTAAACAAATTGAGAAAATCTCCGGGGAGGGGGGGGCAGAGGTATTATTTCATGTACCCATTCATTGAACAACAACATCCACGTTCTACTTTCTTTGCTGCTACTTTATTGCCAGGGTTACATGCTTTCGTTTTTATATATAGTCGAAATCGTTAGTGGTCATTAGAAGGTCAAACATTGGATTCGTTGCTTCAACTGTATTTTTAAAACCTCAACACCAATTTGCTATTATCCTACAAGTATTACAGTCTTACAGTTCTTACTTAATTAATTGGTATTCAAGAAGAACCCTGCACTGCGTATACTCTAACTATATACACTAATCTAATCAATAGCTGTCTTCTCCTCTTTCACTATGGAAATGAATATATTTTTATGGCGCATAAGCATGGTAATAACCATAAGTATATATATAGGGATAATCCTTCCTTCATACATGTACAGAAAAATAATTAGATTTACATGATTAGCACTGCCTATAGTATAGCATTATTAATAATGTTTCCTACAGGTTAGAAAAAAACATCAAAGTTTAGAATATCAGTAGAAATCAATTTCACGTCAAAGGAATTGAGTCTTTGACACAAACTCTGATTTTTTAATTCCTATATCTCTGCAACCCAATGTCGTAGACCTTAGATATTTCAAACTATGAATTCTGTTTGAAATATCAAAAGTCTACACCATCAAGTTCCATAGATATAGGGATTAGAAAATTTGAGTTTATGACAAAGACTCAATTCCTTTCACAACACTTTACTACACAATTTTTGAACTATCTTTAAATTTTGATCTGTTTAGTGCAAAATAATATTTCTTCTTAAAACATCTTTTTATTTGTTTAATCCTACCTTTTCTTCCGATTTTTTGGTACTAGACATGAAGGCTCTTACAAACTCCATGGACTAATAGCAAAATATTTAATTACAAGCTTTAAAAAGATTAGTTTTGATTTAGTTTGATCAATGTAAATAATTTTAGTCAGTTATTGAGAAAATAGAATTTATTCTAGATTCAACGAATCTAGAAAATTCACAAAATTGGTTTCCTCTGCTCAATTTCCTCTTATATGTATTTTTAACATTTTGCATAATAGTACAAAAAGTTGGAGTTCTTCTTAAAATTTAATTTTTTAAAATTCTTTAAATGCTGTATCCTGTTCTAATGCATAGCTAGGGTTACTACACGTATCCAGGATCATAGCACCCAAACTAAAAACAAATAATAATCTTACTAATACTAATTTGTAAATGTATTGAAGATCAAAGTCTGCTTAGTAATACTATTGAATTTCACTTTAAAATTTTTAGCAGTAGCTGACGGATATCGTTTTTTTTGGAGGAATATATTTGAACCAGGACTTTCAATAAACCTTCTTCAAGGGTTACTGTCTTTTGAGCTAAAGCAAAGGATCTTTGCATAATTTGAGAAAGAAAAATTATACGTATTGGCATGTATAATTTACAGAAGCATAAAATTTAAGCAAAACATAATTAAAGCCGACTATTTTATGTAAGAAAAGGAATTGATTCTTTGCCACAAACTCAGATTTTCTAATCCCTATATCTTTCGAACCAAATGTCGTAAACCTTTGATATTTCAAACTTAAATTATTTGATCTAAAAGAAGTCATAGTTTAAAATGTCAAAGGTCTACGACGTTGGAATCCAAAGATATAGGGATTAGAAAATCATAGTTCGTGGCAAAGACTCAATTCCTTTAAGATTTTATCCTGTTGATTGCAATTTGACAATTTAGCTGTGATTATCTTGGCTTTGCTCTCTATCTTATGTCGGCCTACCGATGTAATGCAATTATTCCTCGATATCCCACTTTGCTCATGATCTGCAGGAATAACTTTAATCAAACATTTATTTTCAAATTCAAAAGTACCCGCATTAAATATAATATCAAGATCAATCTATCAAGATTAACAATGCTTACAAACACACAAAGTTTTAGAATTTAGGTTTAATTAAATTAAAAAAAAAAATTAACGCATAAACAAATGCAATTCTGTGTATAGTAATGATTATAATTAATTAATTAATTAGTTTATCTCTAATCAGGATTCTTGAATGAAAACTAATAAACATGTTTGGCGTAATGCATTTATAATTAAAACCAAACAAGGTTAACCTTTTTAAAGGAAAGTAAAAAGAAAAAAGTGAGAATCAACAGATTTCTAACAGAGTTCCCAGCACCATACAATAATATTTAGCATCAGATATTTATCGAGAATCAGCGTAGCAGTACTGTTATTTTAATTAATAGTAAATTTGGATTTTTTAGAAGGTGTTAGGGCCTCCTAAACTTTGCAGTCTTGAAATTGAGAAAATGTTAAGATTTTCAAAATTGACACTTCTTGAGAAATCACTATAAATATATATTTTTCATTTTCATTTACATTGAATAAAAAAATGTACCTCTTTTTCTGGTAATAATTCTAACTTCCAGTTTACTATTTTATTTGGATACTAACAAACAAACAGACAAGACATACAGTTTATGAGTATTATATTCACAATAGTATTTTTTTAAAACTTATGTGTAAAATATGTCTATATTTTCGTCCCAAAATGGAACCTGTCAATAACAAATATTAGTTTGTTTTATCATAAATGTAGAAAGACAAGTAATTATTAGATATCTAGTAATACGAGTAAACCATTATTTATTGCATTGATTTGCTTAATTTCCAGCTGAGAAAAATGTCGAGTACTGTGAATACAAGTCATTGCTCAGTTCTTGATTTTTTTATTACATACTTTAAAACATCCACCAAGAGCCAAAAGTATAAGATACGCCTGTGCAAGGATATGACATTTGTCTATCTTTATGTAAAGCTGCAATAGTTATGCACAAGTTTAAGAATGAAAAAGTGAAATTTATGACAACAAAAAATTAAGTCTTAATCTCAATTAAAGTTTTTTTAAAAGACAAATTGCTTATGTATTATTAAAAGCTTCTGATAGAGATTTTTCGAAAATAGGGCTTCTGATTGATGCAAGAGTCAAATTTTTGTTATTGGAGATAAAAATGCAGGAGCACAAGTTTTGGAGGCTTGGAAACGTAGCGTGAGGCACGGAGATGATTTTGATTGGCTAGTAGGTCATTCTGTGAATCAGGAGGCTCCGGAGGTTAGTTTGCAGGGCTCATGGTTGCTCTGCACCCCCTCTCTAGTCCGAGAGGAATTGAATTTAGAAAGAATAACTAAACTTCAATTTCATTTTAAATTAGGTTTGAACTGGGGGGATTCAAAAGCCGAAAAAAAACGAGTTTTAGCAAAAAATATTCTTTGATTAAAAAAACAGATTTAAGGAAATGTCGTTTTTCCCTGAAAAAAAGAATTAAAAAAACTGTTGTTAAAAAAATATGCTACATAATATTAATTACTGATTAAAAATAGTGGTTTGTTGGATTAATTTTATTTTAGGATTAAATGACACCAATATCAATGTCATATATTGATACAAAAAAAATTCTTGCCCATTTTCTTCCTCGTGTTTTTGTAGAAACTAATATAATCTTTGCCACAAACTCTGATTTTTTATCCTTCTATCTGCGTAACCCAATATCGTGGACCTAAGATATTTCAAACTTTGAATTTTGATGGATCAAATTATTAAACTTTTAAATATCAAAGGTTTACAATCAAAGATATACAAATTTGAGTTTTTGGCAAAGGCTAAATTCTCTATTAATTTGCTTTAAGCCGCCAACTAGAATTTAGAATATGTCCTTCGTTAATACTGTTTGTAATTACATTGCTGTAAGGAAGTCTGTCTGACAGATTATTTAAAACTTCCAAAATAAAATAATAAATTACCGGAGTTACATCTCTAAATCTTTGTATGAGAATGAAGAAGCTAATTCCCTAATACGTCCCAGGAGTAGGATTTAAAACTTTTAAACCCTTCTTGGGGGAAAAGTTAACTTTTAAGATAGAAACAACCTTCATCTGCAATATTCTTTTTTTTTGTTTAATTGAAAAATTACATTTGGAAAAGCTAAAAGCTTAAAAATTAGAGCAATTTTTTTTCATTATGATATTTCTTATGCCTTATATCATACTGGTCATCTCATATATTTTTTTAAGGGGCTTAGAGGAATTTTATTTAAACAATAAAGGGACAGGTAAACTAAAATAATAATGGAACTCAGTTTTTGTAAGAAACTCAAATTTTTCAATCTCTTTATAGTTAAAGCATCTACTACAAAGATTAGATTAGAAAATCAGTGTTTCTGTAAAATCCTCCAAATTTAGTATTTGTTTTAAAAAGTTATTCATCATCCGAGGATCATTTACTTGACTCGTGAAAAATGATAAAGTTCAGTGTTATGGGACTCTTGGAATGGACATTTGTCATTCTTCACATTTCGTAGCTATTTACAGCACATTAATCAGCATAAGTGCAAAAATTTTGTGTTTCTAAGTGTGGGTTTCAACATTTCTGTCCTTTTATTGATGATTAAAACATTCCAGATTTGCTTTACAAAACCTTTTTTCGAATGGTCAGAATCTGATTTTGTATCCTGGCTGGTGCTCAAGGGTTTAATATATTCTTTAAACACATACTAGGGTTCCAAAACATCTTTAACTACATTTAAGCCTTCAGCTGTTGGATGGAAGAAGAAAGAAGGCTAGAGGAGCAGCTGTCAACACTCGAGCAAAGAAAAGATTGTTGTAGTTTTGAAATAAGAACTTTATTTTATGATAATAATTCGTGCACTTTACTAAATAAAGAAGGTGTAGTCTTCTCATAATCAAAATAAATCTTATAATGGATAAATGTACATGAGTTGAGTAAGCATCGGGTAGTCAAAATATAGAGATAAAGACGATAACATTTGTGTATTTTTGAAAAGTTGAATTTTCTAAAATTAATTTCAAATAAATATTCCCACTTAGTTCATTCAATATTTGTTTAGCTTATACTAAACAATACATTGAGAACCAAAATCTTTGCAATAGGAAGACGACTTTTAAGCACAGTTTAAGTGTATTTCATGATATTTCATCGCAAAAGTTTATATGATGGCTAAAAATCACTGATTCAGAAAATTGTGTTGAGTACCTTGTCCAATTGTTAATGTTCCTTAAACTATTTAAGCATATAAATTGAGTCTACTATAGTCAACAGTTTTCTGGTTCTCACTGCATCATAAAGAGACAGCTAATTAGAACTCTCTTGGATAAAAATATTTTCCGTTATGAATGGTAAAGAACAAAATACTTAATACTGTGCATTTGAAAAAATCCCATAAAGAAGATATATATAACCTGTAATCCTTGCTCTTCTTTGATTACCCCACAGGGATAATCTTTGCTCTGCTCACTTACATTCTGTTACAAAACGAAAATATTAATAAACAGATAAAACAGAAAAATTGAATATAAAGAAAATAAATTGGACCAAATTATTAGTGAATTAAGAAAGTAGAATGCAACCTTCAAAAGTAAAAATTCATGAAAAGTTCTCAATTATAGATTAACAGTTTACAAATAACAGCAGTACATAAACCTTCTTCCAAATAACAGCAGTACATAAACCTTCTTCCAAAAAACGACAAAGCATTTTCTTGGTTCAAATAAGTCAACGATTTTATTGCAAGTCTTGTTTACCTGTTATATCCTGGTTTCCAAGTACCCCAGCAGAGATAGGGTTAATAGAATTGTAAAAAAGTGTATTTGAGATTACTTTTTTAATTTTGTACTAATAAAGAAGCTAAGTTATAGATGTAAACAGAGAAGAGTAGCTGTTCTCAAAAACATAAATATGTTATTGAACATATGAGGTTCTTATAACAACACGGACCTCATAACTAAAAGTAAAATAATGCTAAAAAAGTTAAACATGCAATACCAAAGAATATATTTTAGAGGAAAATTGACTAATATTCAGGAATTATTTAAACAAAACTGAGTTTTATGTATTTCAAACAAAAGGCTATTTGAATTCGCATCTTTGCAAGTTTGAAAACCCAAAAACCTCCAGGTTTTCAGAAGCTAGGCAGTAAAACAACTCTGTAGTGGTGTATTACAATAGAGCTGGTAGATCAGTTTTTGTTAAGAAATGGATCTGAGTAAGGCAATTGATGTTGTGCCATGAGAAGTGCTCTTTTCAAATCCAATATGTAATGTTAGATGGGGAATGCTATACCATCAATGGAGTCAGACAAGGAGGAGTTTCTTCCCCTGTGCAA